ATCTCCTGTCTTAGCCTCTTCCTTTGCCCCAGGATATCCTTTCCCTGCCCCTGGATGCCACACAGGTGAAGTGATGGTGAGACACAGCCCCTGCACAGCACTGAGGATGTGGCAGGAGCTCCATCAAAGTTGGTATAGAACTGGGCATCAGGAAGCTGCTCACAGACACACACCATGCTATGGCTGTGACTCTTCGTGGCCATGGCTCAAGCTGCCATGTCATCTTGAATGAGTCTCTGGGCTCAGAGTTCGGATCCATGAACAGCACAGTCCCTCCCCTGTTTTTTCCAAGTTCCAGGGGACATCCAGAATGGCTGAATCAGAGTGGGAGACTCCTGCTTTCTAGGCAGATGCACTGTTTAGGATGCAGCTCTCAAGCCAGTCCTGATTTTGTAGAATGAATAAATAGAACTGATTTTATTCACTATTTTAAGCAAAGGTCCCTAGGATGGGTGGGCAGCATATCATACCTGCCCAGGCAGTGTCTGCCTAGCCAGTGCTTGCAGGTGCACACTTTCCTTTGCCAGAGTACAGTTAGCACTGTTCAGGAGGACAGCCTCCAAAACCTTGAAGGAGGCAAATTTTACCAGTTTTCCAGCCCTTCCTTGGGTGGAAAGGCCTAGCTCAGTGTCAGGAGTGATTTTAATTGACGTTAAACACATATACAACGTGAGAGGTCATTTTGGAAGAAAATAGTTATTAGAAAATCTCTAGTTTAACTAGGCAGTGGTGGCACACACCTGTGATCCCAGCTATTTAGGAAGCTGAAACAGGAAGATTATAAGCTCAAAGCCAGCCCTGATCAGCCTAGTAAGACCTGTCCCAAAAACTAAATAAGTTGAGTATATCATGGAACATTAGTAAGGAAACAAAATGTAATTTGAATTCTCTTTTTTTTTTTTTTCTTTTGGGTTTTTTTTCCCGGTACCAGGAACCGAACTCACGACCTTGCACTTGCCTGGCAGGCGCTGTGCCGCTGAGCTAAATCCCAGCCCCTACAAAATGTAATTTGAGTAAAAACAGGATATGGGGAGAGATTTGCCTAAAAACTGAAAGTCTTCCAATTGTTTGCCTTGTAGAAAATATAAAATTGAACATATTTGCTTGATAAGGAAACTGTTTTACTGTCATTAAAAAGTATTTCAGAAAAGTTGGAATTTTAGGAATGGGACATTCTTTAGGACATACTTTATTTTTAGGATAGTTTGGAAATTTTGACTAATAAAGTAATGTGTAATGTTCACATTTTTAAAGATACAGTAATGGATTGGTGTCTGAAATTGCACTCCAGCGCACTAGTCTGAAGGCCTTGGTGCAGGCATCACCATGCCGTCCTGTAGCAGGCAGCAGGGAGGGATCTGTGTTCCCTCATCTTTGCAGCAGCGTACTGTGGGAAAGGCTGGGTGGTTGAGGTCACACACATTCTCAGTCCTTGGGTGTTGGGAAAGGGGGTCCTGCGGCCAGCCCATTCCTTGAAGAGTTTGAAAGAATCAGTCGTACACTCCCTCCTCCTCCAGAGGCATCTGAATATTTCCCCACTGAGCAATCCACTCTTACCTCCTGTGTAGAGACCAGTTCATCCTCCCTTACACCGTCACTTGCCAGTAGTGGACACAGTCACTGGCTCTCTAACCTCTAATCACTCAGAATAAGTCTGTGAACAAACCTGGAATATAGCCCCGCCTTGGAGTGCTGGTGCTGCACCCCTGACTGGGGCTCACAACCTACCTGGCTGGTCCATGGGTTTGGTTAGTGAGAAGTACCGTCCCGAGAGAACATGCATACTACTATTTGAAAACACTCTGAACACGCTACTGAGTCACCTCCCATACAGTTCAGCCTCTAACTACAGGTGCCTGAGAGGAACAGCATCAGTCAGGAGGGAGCACTGTCCCATACTGGGCTGGAGGAGGCAGGTAGGGCTAGGCCTGAAGAGTTTGGGTGACACCTTCCACAGAGCCTCTCACAGGACCCCTAAATGTCTGGGCAGGAAGTGAAACATCCTATACCAAGCCAAATTAGGACTCACCTTCTCCTGCCCATTCTGGGCCTCTTTGTCCTCCACCCAGTATGCACAGGAGCACCAGCTCCAAGTCCACAGAAGTCCTCAGGTGTGGCATGAAGAGTGCCCTGTCCTCAGCACCCGGGGTATCACATGTGTTACCTATGACATCACATTCCTGAGAACTTGCCAGAGTACCAGAGGAGCACGGCCCCATATGGCCACAATTGTTCACATTCATTGTTTTGATTGACCAGTATCTGATGCTGAAAAGTATGAACTATCCCATAGATTGACAAGCTGGACCCTAAAGGGAGCAGCTGGCCTTTCCACACCCTTAGATTTGCTAAAATTGCAGTTGACACAAACAGGGTCACGACCAAAGAGTTCTGTGTTGACAGTTAGAATCTAGCTACCACCATAAAGGTCAAAGTAACCCTGGCTTGTTGGGTCTTTATATTTTTACAGTTGCAAGGTCACTAAATAAAGAGGTGGCTGTAGTAAAGAGAAAGGACCCAAGTCCAGCCCGTGCAGCCAGCCTCACCCATTCCCAAGTGGACCTTATGACAGCAGCCCCCACTGGGCAGTGAGATGACCAGACAGATCTCTAGAAACAAGCCTTGTTGCCATGGGGCCAGATTTGAACCCTAAAACACCACTTTCATTTCTGGGCCATATAACTCTAGAGGCAACTGGGACATTTACCAAGATCAGATTAAAATGCATAAATCCTTTGACTGAGCAAAAAATAACCAGAGAATTTACCCTCCAGATACTTGCCTCTGTACGCACTACTCCAGGTTATTTAGTGAAATACTGTTTATAGTCACAAAAATAGAAACCCAGATAGCCACAGAATGGATACTTCACCACAGAGCAGTACAGACAGGCACGTGCTGTGGGGTGGTCACTCGGGGGAGCCATCACTCCTGCCTGCTGTGTTCAGAGACTCAGCGGTGCACCTCGCAGCAGCAGTGAGCCCTGAACGCACCCGATCTCGTCTGATCTCCAGAGTTAGCACCACCTTCTTCAGGAAGGGTGTGAAGATGCCTGTCTTACCCTAGATGAGAGCAGGTGGAAACCGAGAAGCCAGGCATTAAAACTAGACGCGGATTCAAACAGCAGGGGAGTAGCAGACCCCTGCAGACACCACACAGTCCACCCCACTTCACAGGAGAGGTTGAAAGTGCACCTCCAGGCAGGTAAGAATTTTTTAAAAGACAAAAACTGGGCTCTTGGTAAAAAATTTAGAACACCAATTTATGAACATAAGTTCCCTTTGTTAAAGCAAAACCATATTACTTACTATCGCCGGAGCTGAGGCCCAGCTTGGATTTCCAGTGAATTTGCAAGCTTTCAGCCTTCTGCTCAACCCCACACATCACCGTGAGCTTTGCTTTCTTTCTCTGCTTCCACAGCCCCACTCCCCTGGTGTCTGGGCTGCTGCTGCCATCACCACTGCTTGAAGCGGTATTGGTGTTTTTAGGTCTTCACATTGCAGGTACCAATTTCTGTTGAGGTGGAGATGGCACGTTCCTGGTGTGCTCTGTGCAGATGGGACTTGCTTGAGAGAGGTCCTGCCGGCCTTTGTGGCCCCAACGCAAGCACACAGTGTTGGTGATGGGCTTGCGACACTCCACAGCTCTCCTGGCATGTCTGCAGGGTGGTGTCTAGGCATTTCTCAAAGCTTAGCCACCCAGGACCACCATTCTTGTCAGCATCAACTGGTATTATGCAGTAGTGAACCTTTTCTTTTTAGCCCTGGATCTAGCAGCTGAGTACTTATGCATGGATACTGCCTTGTGGAATACCTAACAGATAAAGCATGTCGCCAGCCCCTCTGATGAGGACAGGTTTTGGCTACAGAAGGCCTTTCCCATCTTGGGTGCTTCAGCCTTGAGCTTACTCCTTTTAACTTTGCCACTGGCATCAGCCTTGGCTTTGAGTTTCTTTTAGTGTTTAGCTCTTCACCTTTCCCACTTGGTTTGTTGCAAGATGAGGAGGTAAATTTTCCTGTTGTTTTTTAAGAGACTTCTCTTGTCAGTTCTCAAGACTGTTCCTGACTTGCTTTATCCTTTTCTTGCTTTTCGCTTAGCCAACTTTTCCACCCACACTGCCTGTGGTATGGGGTTTTTTTGTTTTGTTTTTTATTCCATCAGGTTTCTGTCTTTTGTAGCCACGTATGTGAGAAAAGGCCAAAATTACTATTGAGGCAATGGATGTAGCCTGTGTATGGGTGCCTGTGAGCCAGCCACCTCTCATTTCCCTGCTAGGGGGCAGAAGTGGCAGTCTGGGAATGATCAGCTTTCAAAGGCCAGTGCAGAAGACAGTTTCCATAGGACCAGCATGCAAAAAAGAATATAGACACAAATGGGGGTCGGGGGGGAGTTTTTGCCAGAAGCACTTTTTGTAAAGAGCTTTGTATAAACCAGTCATGATGGCATAACCTTATAATCACAGCACTTGGGAGGTTGAGGCAAGAGAATTGCCACAAGTCCAAGGCCAGCCTGGACTACATACTGAGTTCAAAGCCAGCTTGAACTACATAGTGAGACCCTGTCTCCTGTCTCAAAAAAAAAAAAACTTGTGTGTCAAAAATGAAGCTTAATACAAAACTCAATGTAACATATTTCTGATATGAGCAAATGCTTTCTTCAGTTTCCGAACATCACCTGTATATTCCCTTCCTAGGGAGTTAGTTAGGGAGACGAGGTGCTTGCATGTGGCCTCACAGCTGCCTGGGATCAGCTCAGCCTGGACAGCATCAGGCTCAGAGGTTAGCCACTCCAGGGTCTGTACTTCAAGGCCCAGTGTGTGGCTTTGAAGGGCCCGGAGCAGCTCTGCCCAGGCTCAGAGAGCCGGTGGCAGGCGGCTGGAAGGGAGCAGGCGGATGAGCTGGGGCTTTCAGGGTAGCGAACTGAGGCCTGAGGGAGTTACAGTGCTTGGTGTCCCATATGTGACATGTGCTTCTCACTGTTTGGTCTCTGGACTCTTTCAGAAGAGGCAGACCACTACAGCTTTGGGGCAGGCACCCTGTCAAGGAAGAAGAAGGTGCTGGTGACGCTGAGGGAGGAGGGTCTGCGCAGGCGCGCCCACCTTGACATCAGCATGCCACATGACTTCCGCCCTGTGTCCTCCATCATTGACGTGGACATCCTCCCCGAGACACACCGCCGCGTGAGGCTCTACAGACATGGCTGCGAGAAGCCGCTGGGCTTCTACATCCGCGATGGCACCAGTGTGCGCGTGACCCCCCACGGGCTGGAAAAGGTCCCGGGGATCTTCATCTCCCGCATGGTGCCTGGGGGCCTCGCAGAGAGTACGGGGCTGCTGGCTGTGAACGACGAGGTCCTGGAGGTGAACGGCATCGAGGTGGCTGGGAAGACCCTCGATCAAGTCACAGACATGATGATCGCCAACAGCCACAACCTCATTGTTACCGTCAAGCCCGCCAACCAGAGGAACAACATTGTCCGAAGCAGCCGCACTTCCGGCAGCTCTGGCCAGTCCACGGACAGCACCGCCAGCCATCACAGCTTGCCCGCGGCCCACATCCTCCACAGCTTCCATCCTGATGAGATGGAGAGTGACGAAGAGGCTGACATAGTCATTGAAGGAGCCTTGGAGCCTCAACACATTCCCAAGACACAGGGCACACCTTGCAGCAGCCTCTCTCGGGCCAACGGCACTGGCCTTGTGGACAGGCTACATCGGGACCTGGCCCTGCACAGCTCTGGGCGAGAAAGCAATGGCAGCATTCACAGACTTCTCAGCTCCCTGAAGTCCGACCCTCGCAACAGCCTGATCCTCCCCGCAGGTGGGGTGGAGGAACATGGGCCAGCTATCACACTCTAGGCTCAGGCCACGAGAAGAGGTCGCGCAGCCCAAGGCCACACAAACCTTGTTGACATTTGCCCCGTGGCGGGGGAGAGCATTGAGAGGAGCTGGTAATACAATTCGTGATCCCAAAAGTAAAATTTCCAAAGGAAGTATTTTACATTTTATATCAATTTTCAAATAAGAAAAATAACCATATACTTCTTTCTCTTCTTTTTTTAATCATTCTTACAACTGTGTTCTTTAGCTTTTGAAATGGTGTATTTTTATAGGATTTCTTCATAGAACTTAAATACACATGTACACACTTCAGGCCAGGCCTGAGTGCAGGTCCCAGAAAGACTTCTGACTAAATGCAGAACAAACTTTATTTTTAAATTATGAAAATAATTCACTTTTTTAAATGAAGCTTAAAACAACCTTTTGTAAGTACTAAAGTTCGTATTTTTAACATAACTGGTGCAGAAATGCCCTGTGATGCCCATGCTTTCTGCTGACCTGCTGGCAAGGCTGCAACAGGAAGGTAGGCACTGTTCCTGAGGACAGTGGCACCCAAACCTGTGACAGGTAATGACCACAGAAGAATTTAAGTCCTCACAGTGTTTCACAGCCAGCTCAAAAAAACCAGGGAGGGGGAGTGTCACACAAGAACACACACAGCTGTGGTCCTGGCTGGGGAGTTGCATTTGTGACATGACCAGAGGAGCCAGCCCGTCTTCACCTCCCCTGAACCAGTGTAGAAAGCAGGCTGGATTGGAAGGTGAGGCTCAGCAATACCTTAGCCGTGTGTGCTTCAAAGCCAGTATTTATTCTGAGATGAGTCAGCCTTTTCCTCTGGGTCATCTGGCTCTAGGACAATTTTCGGCAGATATGAGGGATGTGCGTCACAGACTGTGAAGTCTCAAGAACAGGCAGTTGGATGCATGTAGTTTTATCTTCACTGTTAAAACAGCCAGTTCTAAGTCACAGTTAATACATGCTATTTTCCACTCCTAGACTAGTGCTCAGTGGCAGGAATCTATTTGTAAATACAATGAGTCTTGTGGAACTTAATGGTTTTCACAAATAATAAATACCTTGCCACTTTCAACTTCTTAGGGATTTATGTTTGACCCAATTAAATTTTAGATGAAGTGTATTTTTTTGTCTGAATACAATGTAATGGGCAAAATATTACATTTATACTTTAAGAACAAACTTTGACCAAATAAATCTTTAATGTAAATACACGTAAAAATATTATTCCTGGGTTTTAAGGCTGCGAGCTCCACGTGCTGCTCCCCTGTCGTGTAGCACCACCTGCTGGTCAGTGGCAGAACTGACTGATTTTGTGACCGTCAGATGGAAACTGCAGCTCAACCTTCTTTTTTGTCTTTAGTTCATTCCAGAACATTCTTTTCCTTTTGGAAACTATTTACTGGGCAGAAGTAGCTTTTGCAAAGTAACGTGTCCCCTGTGCTGGTGTTTGAGTTTCTCATTGTGTGCAAAGGACACCAAGTGTGCCTAAGCACAGAGAGAGTGAGATGCCTCCCCACCAAGTCTCAGTGAGGGTCAGACCCCCGAAGGCGGGGTGCTGAGGACATTCAAGCGCATCGCCTTCACGGAGGCTGAAAGCGTTTACTAAGATGAGTACTACAGACCCAAAGTTCTGATGCTTGGTTACTATCACAAAGAAGTGCTCATTCACTAAGTCACTGCTGGTTACTATCTGTGGAATAACTGGGTCTTCTACCAGGTAGGAAAGTTGTATTTCCACCCATTTTAAATGTTGGGGCAAATATGAATCAATGTTTTAAAGAGAAAAGGCTGACTCTGAGCTTCAGCCTGTTGCTAGCAACTGTAAAAGTTTTACCAACCACTCAGAGGAGCTGCGTGAGAGTATGTTTCTACCTAGGTCTGTAGTTCGCCATATTCTTTCTTTAAAAAAAAAAAAATGTCATTATATATTGAAGGGTTTTTTGTTTTGTTTTATATATGAGAATAAAATTTTGCTTTTGAGTTAACAAAATGCATTACTGATACATTTCACCTGTGTTCTAAACAAAGGTGCAGTGTCCATGCCAATGAGAGACACTGGCCACTCCCAAGTGGCTGGCCCTTACCAGGTGCCAGTCACACACCATACTTTTTCACTTAATCCTCACATGTTCTCTGTGAGTGTTATTGTTCCCATTTTACAGATGAGAAAACCTTCCTACAAATGAGAGAGGCTCTAAGTCCTTTGGGGAAAACTTCTGTGAACTTACACAGCCTTCCTGAAACATAGCCTGGTTTTCAGTGTTCACTGTCATTCTGACATTACTAAATGTATACTGCATCTCATCAAGGGTTACTGAAATCACAACTACTGTGGTGGCAGTAAGCACAAGCAATTCCTGGAGGAGCCCACGCAGCCTCACAAGAGCTTCACGGTGTCCTCAGGGAAATGCAAGTAGCTGGAAGTTGACCCTGACAGTCTGATGAGATGGAGCTAACAGTTCGGCACTAGAGCTGGTACATTCTATAAAAAACTCATGCAGCACAGTATGAGGTGCAGATGCTTGAGTGTAAGCAGAGGCCACACACATGGCTGATGGTCCACATCACAAATGAAAAGCATCTGTACTGCTTGAGAGAACCATCCTCCCAGTGGATGATGCGATTTTTTATCACAAATCAGGAGTCATTTAGCATCTTACAGCTTTACGTGAAATAATCACAGATAAGGAATAGGGCTGTATAAGTAACATTTCGGTTTCTCACGGCCCTCTGAACCCTTGTGTGAGAGAACAGGCACTAGACTGGATGACAGGTTGTTCCGCTGGAAGAAAAACTCACATATTAAATGCGGAGAAGTGAAGTTTCTCAGAGTGGTTCTAAGAAGAAAGCAGTCTCAGTGGTCTGACTTATAGTAACATGAGAGAAGCCTCCCATGATCATGTGAAATGGAACATTTTCTGAGCATCTGAGCCTGCTGAGCTGAGGCCTAGCCTTACTTCTTTGGGAAGGTTAGCAGCTCAGCATAAGCACAAGGCCCTGCCACTACAGACAGACTGAGGTGTGTTCAGGGAACATGCCAGCCCACCCCCAGGCTCTCAGATACAGATGGGGTCTGAGAATCTTCGATCCCAACAAGTTGCCAGGTAATGTTGATGCTGCATTCCAGGGATGATACAGAACCATTGCCCAGACCCCTCTAAAAGTTGTCAAGAAAGTACAGTTTGCCTAGGAGCCTGGGACTCATGACTAAGGGCTCATTCAGAGGATACAGGTTTTGTCCATCATATTAGGTGCTGTTGCAGATATTGTAATTTATGCACCCAAACTACTGTCTAGTAGTTTTCGCCCCCACCTCACCCTGCCATGCTGTAATGCCACACCAGCACCTGCTGTCTACCTTTCTCCTTCCTCCTGTAACATCTACCTCCCAGAACACTTAGCCCAGATACTTCCAAGTCCATGCACGGATGCATCCTAGTGCCTACATTTCTTCACTTAGGTTTTATTTTCCTTTGTCCTCATAAAAAGGAATTAAAGAGCTTTCAGATACTGAGACATCAGTAGTGAAACATTTCAGGGAGAGCCATGAACACTTTGGCACTGATAAAAAGCAAACAAGATAATCCAGCACTGCTCAGCACACCAGTAAATAAGCCACTTTATATATTCTACTCCCAAGAGCTTTGAAGGGTAACACTGCCACACAGGAGCCCCTAAAAAGAGCTGTACGTCACACTACAGGAGCTGACAGCAAAGGCGCCAGTGCTGGATACATTCCAGCAGTGCTGGACACAGACAAGAAGATTCCCATGTTTAGTCCAGCCTGGGTAATTTAGTGACTTAGGAAGACCATGTCTCAAAATAAAAGGGATGAACCCGGTACAATTGCACTAGGTTCAATCTTCAGTTCTGAAAAATTAATTTTAAAAATAAAGTTATACAACAGATTTAATATTAAGACACCCACAGCCACCTGACAGTCTGTTTTATTGTGCCATAATCAAGGTGCACACTCCACATGGACCCCACCTGAGCCCAGGCTGCAGAGACAGACACAGGGATGAGGGAACAACCCCTGCTGAGGGCAGCTAACCACAGAAAGCAAATCAGCAAGCTTCCCTTTGACAGCATTTTGGAGAGGGCACATCTTAGATGAAGGCTACTGAGGACAACCTAAGGGGCAACCTCATCCACAGCAGTGACCAGCTTATGTGACCAACCCAGTCTTCCCTGGTGCTCCCCTACTTCCCACTTCTCCCGACCCCTGCCCTCAGCAGCCAGTGGTCAGGAGTCTTGCACACAAACACTTCCCTCTCCACTGATGGCTACTACATTTCAGAGCAACAGTGACACACCAAGGAGAAAAGTGTACAAAGCTGAACAGCTGCCAAGCAAGTGACACATCACCCTACACTGGTGCTGACTGTAGCACAGAGACGAGGAAGGACACCTTCAGCATCCCACCCTATACTAGTAATGTCCACAGAAGGTTTTCATCTCCCCTAGTATCACCTATGCTTGGGGACACCTCACACCTTCTCCCCATCTCTTTGTCAAATGTAGGTCTCATGACCCCTGAGTCTCTCTTGGTGAAGAGTGGGACCTGGAGTCCAGGTCCCAGGACCTGGAGTCACTTTCCCTGGTGCTGGGAGGCTTTGCAGCAGACAGGACTAACTAAGCTGTACCTGCTAACTGGTTATAAATTCTACCATTAAGGAAAATAGTAAATGGAGTGAGGCGAAGAGATAAACCCTTGAACTTCGAGGCAATTATAAAGTCAAGATTATACCTGTGGGACGGTGGGGATCTGCAAGCAGAGTGAGTCCACACCTCCTCCATTGTATCTGTGGGATGGTGGGGACCTGCAAGCAGAGTTAGTCCATGCCTCCTCCATTGTACCTGTGGGATGGCAGGGCCTTGGAGCACGCAGGACTGTGGCGGCTTTGAGGGGAGTATAAAGACACACGCCTTTGTCGAGTAGACTGACAGAAACCCCAAAACCTGAGACCCAGGACAACAGCCGGTCCCAGGTGCACAGGTGCGCACACGACCTTGAAGGACAGGACTGCCGAGACCAGCAGTGTGGAAGTGTCTTAAGCTGCAGTGAGGAGCCAGCAGTTGAACTCTGGAGAACTCCACCAGCAGAAGTCAAGTCCCAGGCCCCACATCCAGAGGCCAAGATCAACTCCATACTCAACACATTTCTGGGATTAAATATGGACACTATCACAGAACTGTAAACACCAGAAGTATTTTAGTACTTTCATTCTCCCTTGTTTGCATGGCTATCCCTCTCTTGTCTGGTTGGATGTCACCTTATTTTCTTCTGTGTTTGGTAGGTGTGTGTGTGTGCATGTGTGTGTGTGTGTGTTTGTGTGTCTTTTTGAGGCAGGGTCTTGCTATGCAGCTGAGGCCAGCCTTGAGCTCACTTTGTAGCCCAGGCTGGTCTTCAATCCACAACGATCCTTCTGCCTCAGCCTCCCAAGTGCTGGAATTACAGGCATGTGCCACCATGCCCAGCTTTGGTAGTTATTTTTGTATTTGGGGTTTTTATATTTTTTTCCTATTCTTCTCTCCTCTCTCTCATCTTTTTTGTTTTGTTTTTTTTTGTTTGTTTGTTTTGTTTTCCTTTGGTTCATTTTTGTTCTATTTCATTTTTTCTCTTCTTTTATCAAAGTTTAGATTTCTTATTTTTCTTCTTTTTCATTTTCTCTAGACTCACTTTTTCTCTTTCCTCAACTACTTCTTGAATTTAAACTTTCAAGTGAGTAAACATTGTCTTTGCCCTCTCTGGCCACTGCTTTATATTCTATTTTTTCCCTCCAGTGTCCTCCAGTTTCCAAATCTTGGATGATCATTCTTTAATTTCCAGCCCTTACTCTACCATCTTTGATTTCACTCACCACTTTAGCCAATCCCCCAACCATCTTAATTAACCACCCTGCTCCCTACAGAAGGGTAAAATCACCTAAGGGGAAAAATCACTGCATACAAGCATAGAGTATAAGTTTGATTTTATTACATAACTTTAGAGTTTACTCCCATGGTCAGAGGTGTTACTGGTTGTCATAGTTTATCAGTACTTAAGCTGCACTTGAAACTGTTTGCTATTACTAACTGTACTACTTCAGCCAGGATGTTACACATGTTATAAACAACTTTTCTCCCCTGTATGATAACACTATGACTGTATGAGGTCATAATCACTACCACAGCCCAGTATCAAAGGATTAGGAACTGAGCTAAATAGTAACCTTGCACCCTTTACAAATTGGGAAAGTAGGGCCTTGGGATAGCTATAAGAAACCACCTACATCTAGAAGACGTCCCTGAAGAACAGACACCATCTAAGGAAACCTAAATACTAGTGCTAAACATGTGTATCATAAGAAACTAGCAAGTATCAACATAGAAAACAAAATGTAAAAGAGAAAATACAAAGTGGTAAGATGCAGAAGCAAAATGCAACCCCAGACCCCCAGCCCACCCAGGACAAGCCCAGAACTTAAGGAGATAAATGAAATTGGAAATCAAACATTGGAAGTTTTGAAATGATAGCAGCAGAAGTGAAAAAACAAGTGGAAAAGGCTTTGGAGAAAATAATCTCTCAGGTACAGAAAGAAATGATGCTTAAAATCAAAGATATTAGAGAAGACAGATTAAAAAAACAGATGAGCTTAGAAAAATGATGGAAACAAGTAATACTCAGCATAGGGAAAGAAATGGAATCCATGAAACAGATCCAAACAAATCCAAGAGATTAAAACTCCATTGAAAGTATATGCAAAAGGTTGAACAAAGGAAAAGATAGGATTTGAGATCTTGAAGACAGAATTACAGATAGTGACAATGAAAAGAAAGCTATCTTAAAAATAGCAAGAGACCATGAAAAATCAATCCAACAGCTACAAGATGAAGCAAAGAATAACAGAAGATTGATTGGGGTCAATGAGAAAGTGGAGACATCACAAA